TGTCTCGGTCTCGATACACTCTGGTCTTGGTCTTGTCTTGGTCTCGGGTTAGGTGGTCTTGAACACAACACTGATGGAACCAAAGTTTTTTCTTGTTCTCACAAATGTAAGATGGTCACTAAAGAGTCTGGAACAGAAAGCCGGACCACACCCTGTAACATTCATCATCAGAACCTGGCTGCAGATCTAAAGCGTCCTGCTGGATTAAAATCTTTTAGCACCAGCCACTATGATGCTCTCAAAATACCACAAATTTCCTTTCTTCCCCAATTTGAGACTTTGTTTGACCTCAGTCACCTCATCTAGGTGCCCAGATGCATTGAGTTATGATCGACTGATTTGTTTTGTTTTTTATATCAAGGAGTTGAATTGCTTGACCTACTAATGAAGTAGCCAGTGAGCCACACAGGACACACACCTAACGGTAATTTAAAGTGACCCACACATGTACAGTGAGGACATTCAAACTTCATGCAGATTCAGGATTTAAACCCAGAATTACTTTGCCAACAGCTTCACTCTGCAACCGTTTGTCAGAAAATATTTAAAAAACGCTCCAGAAATCCAAAATTCTTTCACATTTCTGTGAAAAGGATATCGGTTAACTTGGTAAATTGCCGTCGCTGGGCTCTTTAGTCCTCTCTGCCCCGCAGCAAGTGAAGAAACCCTAATGGTTGAGTAATAACTTCTCTTTATATAAACATTATAACGGGATTAGAATGATCCCACATCGCCCATCCTCGTTTTTCAGCTCCACTCGTCTCTGGAAGTCTTTCTGTCTCTCCTTCTGTGTCTTTCTACCTCACTTTATCTCTGCTGTTTGCCTGTTATGTCAGGCTGTCTGTGTGAATCCGTCACTGAACCTGAGCTCTTGAGGGCCAGCAGGGTGGACGGGCAGTGTGTGTGTGTGTGTGTGTGTGTGTGTGTGTGTGTGTATGTGTGCGCATGCTTGCAGCAGACAGTGAAAGCATGATGTGTAGAGCAGGTGAAAGACTTTGAATGTTTCCCTTTGTGTCCCTTTCTCTGTGCTCACTGTCCTTCTATTGGCAGGGAGTCTTTTTTTGTCGTGTGTGTGTGTGGGTGTGTGTGCGTGTGTGTGTGTTTGCACACATTGTTGCAGCATGTGACTAAACAACGGAAAGTGAACATGGCAGCTGCCACGCCACACAAACTCCCACTCCTCAGACAGACCCCCCCCAGTAACACACTGGCGCTCCCAGTTCTTGAGCCACTTCTTTACCAGACTTTAGTTTGTTTTCATACTTGATAGTCTGGTAGATTCAGTTCAGTTTGGGAACAAATATGCCAACATTTGTTACATTTCAGCTGCTGTGGTTCACTTTCACACTCCACTGTGTCAAACCAAAAACCCTCTAGAAAAACTTGTTCCCCTCCTGGCCTGTGGTGGCGCTGCACCAGGAACCACTGAAGGAAACGACACCAAAACCTCTAAAGAAGACATGAGTGCTTCCTTCGTCTCTCCATGTTAAATGGCGTCAGATTTTAACAGTTGTAGGATTTCTCTTTTGTTTTTGGCAAAAATCCAGCAGCCATTTCACATGCGTTTGTTTTGGTTGTATTTACCCAGAATGCCCTGGGGTATAGTCCGCTTCCTGCTTTTGGAGCGGTCTGCAGTCCACTTTGCGTTCACATATGCATTCAAACCGAAGCAGAGTTCACTTCAAACTGAGACGAGGTTTTTAGGCGAACCAGACGTCTGTTGTTCATTCACACCAAACAACCTAAACAGACATAATCTACATCATTTATTGTTTTGCATGAAAACCCTTTAATTTCTGTCTATTGTGGACTTCTTCCACTTTGAAATTTGGTGTTATTTTTAGTTTTTCCCACCCTTAGGGCCCACATATTTTCCTTTTTTCTTTTTTCTTATTGTGATAAAAAAACACACACCATGCATGATAAAATAAAAATACTAATTTTAGATTGCAATGGTTATCAAATCTCCCATCCATTAAAGGACATTTTAATGGCTTTCTGTGAAATGATGACGGTTCTGAGCTTATTATCTGAGCTGATATAAACCAGAAGCCTCAACATGCATAATTTCGTTCAGCTCTATGATAATCAGATGGGAAAATTGAACCAGAGATGATTGATTATGCACAAATTACTGTAGGACAGTTTATTGGTTTAAAAAAAAACTATTGGAAACCAAAACCATCTTATGTTCTACTTATCCAATCAAACACAAAGCTTTTGGTTGTAGTGTGACAAAATGTGAAAAAGTTCAGTAGCTATAAGGACTTTTTCAGTGCACATCCACCCATCCATCCATCCATCCATCCATCCATCCATATTTAATCTTTGCGCTCCTGCGCTGTTAGTCTTGCAGACTCTTCACACTCTGCTGTTTGCTGCATCTTCCTGTGTTGTTTCATCCGCCTACCTCCCTCTGCTGCGAAAAGCCATTTTTAAAACTGTTAAAAGAGAAAAATGAAGGCCTCTGAAAAAGCCAAGTCAAGCAACGTCTCGTCTTTAAGTCACATTTAATGATTTGACAGAAGTCAGCCCTCAGTGTCAGCAGGCGCAATTAATTCTGATCCTTTATCACTGTAAAACAGCAGCTGGCGTTTTCCCAGTCATTATTTCCACAATGAAACGTAAGTTAGTGTTTTCTGTAGGAGCTTAAAAGTTAAACAAAATCAGAAGTTGTGATGAAATAAACTATTTTCATAAAGTGGAACCGAATGTAGACCAACTCTGTGCATTGCCTCTGCAAAATTTGATTTTCATAAAGAATAGCCCAAAGAGAGGCAAAGTATTTATGGTCTATAGTTCAAATAACTTAGTACAATTTAAATAAGACGAAACTAACTTTAAAATAACTTTTCAGCAAGTCCAGGATTCCTGAATGTTGATGAAAAAGTTTTGTTCCTTTGGCAGATAATTTCACTTAAAACAAAACATTTTTCTATGTTATAAGTAAAATAATCTGCCAATATAACTATAACTTTTTCATTAATATTAAGGAATTATTGACTGAAAAAAGCTCCTGTATCTTACTGAAAAGTTAATTTAAAGTTAGTTTTGTCGTATTTCAAATTTATTAAGATATTTGTTCTAGAAAATAGACAAAAATACCTGGTGAGACCTGAAGCCAGAGGCAACCTCCATTCTGTAACATCATACGAAATACAGGTAGAAGCTTAAAATAGTTATGTTTGATAACAAACTCATTAACTGTTCTGTTCATGTTGTCTGAGTCTAAAACAAAACTTATTCTCCCTTTTTTAACTGTAAAAAGAAGAAAATAAAGAGAGTAATGCATAAAGCTGCAGACCTGTTGTAAGTGTGGCGTCTGAAAACAAAAGAACTTCATATTAGCTCAGGGGTCTTCAAACTGCGTCTTAGGGGCCGTTAGTGGCCCTTGGAAAGACTGTTTATGGGCCCCGACAACAACTCAAGATTTATACAAAGATGGTCCTCCAGCTGACAAATTAAAATCTTCATAAGAAGAAAAACTCTGCATACAAACCAAAGCATTTTTATTCACATTTTAGTTTGATTTCATTGGAAATCAAATCATAAATATTCAAGGATTTTTACTCAAATTCAGACCTGGGCATTCATTGGCTAAATACGGCAAGCAGTTTTGAAAAAGATTGACTCATATTCAGATCTTGTTCCTCAAACACAAGATTTGTTGTTTTTTCATGGATGAAAATAGTAAAAAAAAATCAACCTGAAAAATGTAGGAAACGTTTTTGGATAAACATAATTTAGAAATCCCATTTCCTTACCAATCATACATCTTTGTCCTTTTTATTAAAATATGTCTAGGGAAACCAAAGACATATCAAATTTACTCATTTACTTACCGATTTTTGTGTCTTTCCATTTCAACAAAACAGTTTAGGTCCAAAATGTAAAAAGTTTGGACACTTCTGGACCATCTCTTTGAGAAACAGCAAAGTTTTTATTGTTTTCAGATAAATTCGTGGCAGTACGGATTTTTACTTTTCCCACTGGTGTTCAGGCCTGCGTTTCTAACTGTTTGTCTTTTTGACCGGTGCTGGTTTCTGGTTTTCTGCTGCAGCTCGCCGTTCGGCGTTTTGCTGCTCGGTTTCTCTTTTGTTCGGCGCAGACGGCCGCCCACCCTGAGCCTGCTTCTGTCAGAGTTTACAGATTTGATCATAGCATGTTCCGCACCCCGAGGAGACAAACGTTCATAATTTTCGCAGCACATATCTAAAAATTGATTTCTGCACAAATGTTATTTTAGCTCCAGCCGTACATTTTCTGCAGAAAAACGTGGTTCGTTGTGCTTCTAGACAAATGATAGAATCTGTTGGAGGAAAGGATCGCTTGGCCAGGATTCTTCCTCCAGAACTGAAATGAGTTTTTCTTGAAAATAGAGACAGAATAGTGGCTGCTAGAAGGATAAATTGTGTTATTCGTTAAAGTCTTGCTTGTTTTAAAACATATCAACATGATCAGCTTCAGCGATAAAAAAGGCAAACCTGTTTACGCTGTTTGTCATACTCCTCTCCTTTTTCTCCTTTTCCTTTAAAAATAACACAGTTTGAAATGTGAGATCATTACGTTGTAATAAACCAGTAGATGATTTTCCTCAAAAGCTTTAAAACCTCCCTGAAGCTCAGATTATGTGTGTATATTCATCAAAGTCCATCCCGGCAGAACGCCGCTGATCTGAGACCTGTAATTATCTCCCCATGCTCCCCAACTCATAATGACCCTCATTCATCAGGAGATGCTCTTCTCTGGACTGATGCGCAGACTGGGGGGGAGTTTCAGGTGAATCAGGGAGAAAACGGCAACTTCCCGAGGAAACATCAACCCTGATTCAGGAAAAAACGCAGCAACTTTTCAGTGAAACATGTTTTATCACAACCAGGAAAAAGGTGAAAATTTCCTTCTCTGCTTTCCCTCAAGTGATGCTCTGATCATGGGTGATTGTGTATGGGTGTAAGAATACATGAATAAATTCATTATCTGATTAAAGAGACACAAATGCATCTATAAGGCGAAGGATAAGTAAAACACCTTTTACCTTCTTTCAGTAACTACAGAATAAACTGAGGTTATTTATGTTTTACAAGAAAAGGAAAAAAATATCCTGTCAGTTTTGCTTCACTAAAATGAGAAAATACTGGAAGGATGTTGACTAAATCTGGACTGTAAACATTGTGATTCAGCACCGCGATCAATCACCATGACAGTGATTAGGATGTGTGTAAACTGTTTCTCTGTGATGTGAAGCAGGGAGGAAGCCATGATGGTTGTTTCAGAGAGAGCAGCAGCATCCTGGCTGGAAGGCTGTCGGCTTAATTCCAGCTTCTCCGTGTCAAAGTGTTGGTGGGAAAGACGCTGAACCCCGTGTTGTTCACAATCTACATATCAGGCAGAATTATCCAGTAAATGAGCTTTGATTGGTTAGAAAGATGTTTTTTAATTCTATCTTTATTTAACTGGACAAAAAACAAGCTAAGAAGAAATGTCTTATTGCAACTGTAGCCTGGCAAAAGGCAAAATGACACAAACATGAAAACGATGAACGAATTTCAGCATTCAGAAGAACAGAATAGTGAAGATGTCCAGTTTGTGGATTTTTCTGTATTTCATTCCAGTAAAGTGAATAGACAACAAGCCGGACGCAGAATAAGTTTTAGAAAATGTTAACAGAAGCAGGTTTGCAGATTTTAGTATTAATGATAAACTAAATAATATGAAGTTTATGGAGCAAATCTTTGGATGCTGATCTGTAAATGACATCATCATAATAATCAAACATGTGAAGTGCGGTCAGTGTTTTCACTGCAGATGAAATGAAAGGAGCGCTTTCTATACAGGAACTCGATTTGATCTCAGTCAAATTATCAATATTTTCTTCTGAAAGGAAAAAAGGAAAATATTTTGTCTACCTGACATTAAGGATGCAGATTCCTGGCGATACATTCAGAATTTTATGGTGCGTCTCTTTTTTTTTTTTACCAAACCAAATGACTTTGTTCTTAGAAATGATTTCTTAGCATGCAGACTGGAAATGGAAATGGATTCTAATAAAACTCATCAGACGTAGTGAGTCTATAACAGGACAGTGGAGGAGAGGACTGTGTCATCAGCATAAAGGTGAATATATGAATCTACAGCAGGATTTGCTGTGTCACAAGTGGAGAAAAGAGTAGGACCAAGTATTGACCCCTGTGGGACTAAAAACTAGAAATATTCTAAAGAAAAATGTCCTCCATTTTCATCTGGCTTGATTACAATCAAAGGTCATTCAAATGATGTTAATTATTAAAAGAGAAAATTCTTCAGATTTGTTTTGTCTAAAATAAGTTTAAAAGTAAAAGCTATGAAATATTGTTTGTACAGATCTGAAACCTCAGCTCCTAGATGTAAATGAAGCTCTGCAGCGTCCGGCTTACTGAGGGCAGTGAAGCACAGAGCGGTAAGTCACCAAAGGTTTTTACTGCCTGTTCTGCCCAGAGTTTATGGGATCTTATCAATTAGCATGCTCACTGCTGTAAACAGGCCGGTCGCTTTGTGTGCTGTCAGCTTCATGCATCACTGCCTTGTTAAAATCAGACGAATGCACTTTAAAGAGCCAGATGATAAAAAAGGAAGCAGCAGAGTTACTGTCTGGTCTGGCACCAGTTCAGTCTGGTCCCTGGATGTGAAAAGACATTTAATGTGCCAAAGCAGCTACACACTTGTGCATCTGCAACTTGAGGACACTTTTTCAGATTTTATCTGCATGCGGCTCCCTGGAAGCTGCACAACCTTTTAAAGCATTTCTGTTAAACTGGCCCTTTAAAATCTTCTTCAGCCATAAAAATTAGACAGAGTAACTCACTGAGCCATATAGGATTATGTTTATTCATCAAAGAAATATCTCATTCAGTTTGGCTGTAAGGCTGGAATTAATGCATAATGAACTCTCAAAATAAATTACATAATCTTGAGCTAAAGATCCCTGCAAAAGTTTTCATTAAATTTATATTTTTTCTCATTAGTCACAAACTTTACAGAGCCTAAAGTAGCTCATCATCAAGTGGAAGCAAAACTTTATGTGTTTTCAATATTTTTTTTGTAGATATATTTCTCAGCAAGTCCAACTTAGATGAAGAATATGTTTATTAAACAAACATTTTGAGCTCTGGACTTTGACTAGGCCATTCTAACTCACAAATATGCTTTTATCTAAACCATTATATTGTTATATTGCTTGTTTGAGGTAAAACTTCAGCATTTCCATCCAGTTTCCTGTCACCTCAGTCCAGCTGGACAAAGGCATCCCGCAGCATGATGCTGCCACCACCATGTGTCTCAGGGGGATGAAGTTCGTCTTTTCCACCACATCCTTTTATATTAAACAGAAAAAGTTCAGTTATGGACTCATCTGAATAAAACGCCTTGAACAGCAAACTGAACTGAGCTGCAGGGAAAAGACGGTGTTTGGTGAGACCGAAGGTTTGGCAAACAGAATGGTTGCCATGGGAGATATTATGTGTTGCCATGGGAGTCATCTTATAGCACAATCAAGTAACTGTTACCTTCAGTAGTTACAGAAAGACTTTGCATATCAAACATGACTTAAAAGAAGTCTGATGTCTCTTTAAGAAAGTACCGCTCTTTCAGGAAGTCATCGCAACCCTTTAACAGCTTTTTCACCAGCGTTGCACAGCATAATGATGTGCAGTTCCACCAGGTGTTTGCTAATTGCTGCTGGCTAGTCTGAAGGAGCTGAGTTGGGTGAGGGCTGCTCTGTGAGGCAGAAGTTTGGAGACTGCAGCTCTGAGGAGGATCTTCGGGGAAAAGGTGGCGCTTGATGAGACAGAGTGGTTGCCATGGAGATTAAAATATGCATGAAAGAATCAAAACACTTTATATGTTTTTGATGTGGAAATAACACTATAACATAACGTAAGGCTTAAAAAAACCCTCAATTTTACATAATATTTCCACTTTAATGCTCTGTGTGCCTCCTCTTAAACAGAGATATTCGGTTTTCTATCTGTGCGAGTGAAACCATACAGAACAGTTTGTTATGTGAGAGGAACACAAGGCTGTGCTCTCTGAGGCTGCTTCTGTTTGTGCATACAGCGAGAGAAGGAGCCTGACAGACAGAACAAACAGTGTTAGCCTTTAACCTCCCAGCAGACAGCGGGTTCACCGGTGAGCTCATGTGATTTCTTACCTCTGTCTGCCTGGGAAGCAGAACGCCGCATGCGGTCTCTGCCTCTGGATGGAAAACCCAACAACTTCTCAGTGTCTCTGCGATCTCTGGCTTCCCCTGACAGGAGGCGGGTTCACGCCTTCTCGGATTGACAGGAGCTGGGTGTAATATTTAGAAGTTTAACAGCGGTGTCGTCATGTGCGCTGCAGCAGCACGCTGCAGAGAGAGCAGCCAAAACCTGGCAAACATTACCTGATGGATGAACTAACACCTTCCTGCGGGTCGGGCTTGGTCCTTTCTGCGCGCTGGATGTCCTGAAAACATCTCGCTGGTGACACGGTGTTAACAGCTCTTAGTTATGGTACCTCACAATTAATTGGCTGATGATGAGGCTAGTTATGATGTAATCTTTCTCACTCCCTCTTCCTTGCACACAGCTACAGCCCCCTCCCTTTCTTTCCTGTTTCCCCACCTCTTTCCCTGTCTTTCTCTCCTATCCTAACCAACATGGCCGCTAAGTCGGATGGAGCAGCGGTGTCTGTGGAAGATGACAACACGCCCAGGAGCCTGTCGGAGCCGGGGAACCCCGTGGCCCGGTCCCGCTGCACCGCCGCCGGTGGGAAGCCCTACACCCTGCTGGACTGCTGCTGGGTGCTCTGCGCCCTGCTCGTCTTTTTCTCCGACGGAGCGACCGACCTGTGGCTGGCCGCAGACTACTACCTGAGAGGCGACTACTGGTGGTTCGGCTTGACTCTGGTCTTTGTCGTGGTGCCCTCCGCTGTCGTGCAGGTGCTGAGTTTCAGGTGGTTCGTGTATGACTACTCGGATCTTAGCGGCGGTGAAGGTTCGGGCAGCGGCGGGAGCTGTGCGGCGGCGGCGGCTGCAGGCGCGGCAGGCGCCGATGCCACAGCGGGCGATAGCACGTTAAGCACCAAGGACAGCGACCAGCACGGTGGGAACGCGCCAGCGGTGAACGCCGCGAATGTTACCCCGGTGTATGCGTCCTCTGGCCCGCCTGCTGCGGCGGTGAGAGTCGGCTCCCCCCGGAGATGCTGCACCATCTGCATGTGGGTCTTTCAAACCGTGCTTCACGTGCTGCAGCTGGGGCAAGTCTGGAGGTAAGACCGCTCCGGACCGGAGGTGTGCGGAACAAGAGGGGTGTGCTCGCATCTGTGTCCACGCGTACTCTACGCGTGCGCGTGTGTGCATGCGTGTGGCTTTGTACTGGATAACCGTGCGGGATGCAGACACAAGCATCGCATCCCGCACGGCTTTCTGCTCATTAAGCAGCCTAGAAATGCGTGCGTGTGCGGGTTCTCCATGTTGGTCTACCAGTGCATGCTTCTCGGTCGGTTCATCAGCGTGTGCGCGCCCGCGCCCCGGCATGTTACCGAGCTGATCTGGCGACAGAAATGTGCAGAACCCGACCAGACCGTAGAGACATTAGATACCTCCCCCTCTGAGCCCATTTGTCTCCCGGACCGAACCTTCAGGTCCGGCTGCCGTTCCTGCTGTGGCTGAGCCTGAATAGACGGAGGCATACAGCTGCTGGAGCTCCACTGGGAGCTCCTCTCTCCCCACTGCTCCCATATGTCATGATACAGATATGTTGACAGGAGCTCTGTGGTTTAACCTGCTCCTCCTCCTCCCTGCTCCTTTCAGTGAATTATTTCTAATAATGCTGAATGTTGCTTATTTCCCTCGAGAAAGCGGCGTTTTGGGTGGGAACTGGATCCGAACTGGAAATGAAATGAGAATATGGATGAACCCAGAGCTCCGGGGCGTTTTTTGAAAATTCCACCACTAATTGTTGCTATTTTTAAAACGTGATGAAACATCAGAAATGCTTCAGGTTCAAACTAAGTGAAGCCTTCATGTCTAAAGTGTTGCCTTTAAATCTGCTCAGTTGAGCAGGTATTTACTCTTTTAAGAGTTTTACTTCGTCATGTTTTGCTGTCATTTTTGCAGAGTTGCTCAGTTTTCTGGTTTCCTGTTTGTTCTCCACTCACCTCTCCAGGTCCTCCTGCTGTTCGGGTTTCATTGCCATCCTTCAGATCTCCTTGTTGCTCATGTTGATCCTTTTGTTCTGACTGCAGATTAATAAATAGTCAAGTTTTGCTCTGGACTCACTGGCCAGATTTCCAGTCCATTTTATTCTAAATTTATGAGTTTTTTTGGTTTGAAACCCAAGGATTCCAACCTTACATGTTTTTTTTTTTTTGATCAGTTTGAGAGATTTAGTTTTCAGATATTATTTTTCCAAGGTCACAAAACTGAACTTTCTTCACAGGGAAGGAAGTTCAGGTTTGTAACCTTGGAAAAGGGCTGTTTCATTGTCAATGTCAAGTCAAAAGCTGATATAAATTTTAATGTGTTATGGAAAATGGACCATCCAGCCAGACCTTATCTTGGTTTGGGGTTTCTAACCAATTTCCTTACAGAAAGCTAGAAACATTTCATCCACCTGCAGAAACAGCAGTCTCGGGCCGGCGTCCTGCAACTTTTAGATGTGTATCTACATCAGTGCACCTGGATATATTAATAGGATAATTACCAGAGCTTAATGCATGCTGAGGAGGTAATTTAGCCATTTGATTCAGGTCTGCTGGACCAGAGATGCATCCAAACGTTGCAGGACGCCATGTTAATGTCTTAATAATAATCTGCATGTCATGCTGACCTCCTTCCTCTGGAGCTCGTCAAGCTGCCTGGATCAGGCTTGGAGTAAATTTCTTTATACTCCAATATTACCTGTAACAGGTTTAGGTCACACTTATTTAAATAAAAACAGCTCACTTATCAAATATGTAGACCAGTGAGAATTAAAGTGATCGAATTTACTACCCAAGGCAATGAATCCATCATAATCTAAGTGAAGAAGTAAAAAACAATCCAACATTTAATTTGATTTTCAGTGGAAAATGTCAGAAGGAGAACAGATTCTTGCCTAAACATTCCCACATCTGCAGTCAGATCAAGATGCCAGCTGCTTGTTTGGGAGGCATAACATAAAAAAGCCATTCCTGTCCTACTATCAACTGGAGCCGTTGGTCCAATGAGACTGAGATAAAGCTTTTCAGAGACAAACATGTTAGGTGGGCTTGGCTCGAAACAAAGGACGAATATGTAGAAAATCACTTTTTATGCTCCAGCCTGGAGAAGAATAGGAGCCAAACGGGTTGGCGGGGGGAATGACTCTCTCTGGTGGTAAAACTGTAAAATTGTTCATGTTGGAGGGTTTTCTTTTCCTCAGTACTTAAACTCCTTTATAGGATTTTTCTAAATATTTTAAAAAGAGATCACATTTCTTCAATAAAATTTCAAGACTTTTTACCCAATAAGTGTGACATTCCTGCTGTTGGTTGATGTTTTTCAGACCAAAACCATTTGTCTCTTTCAAATAAACAAGTTTTGAATCATAATTAGGAACAAAGCAGCTTTAGAAAAAGTTCAGCTTGCAAGTTTTCAAAATCACAATGAAGCCATTTGGCCACTTTGTCACTTTCCTCGATGATTTTGGCATCGTCTGCTGCTTCAGAGCGAAGAATCAGCCACAGACACTGGAGGCCAGAGTAACCAATCACATCCGCCTGCTCCAACATAACACCACCATGTTGACTTTTCTCTTCTAAAAACCCGTTTTAGACTCAACATTATCAGGATGTCAACATTGTTTTAATTTAAAATACACAGATAAGATCAAACTTGTACTAGTAGAAATTTCTCCAGTAGGGCTTACTCTAAAATAAAAGAATTATCATTTAAACTTTCATTTTTTAAGTGGATTTAAGTGAAAGTATGAATAGAAAAAAAAATGATTATAAGCATCATAATTATACAAATATAATATTATTTATCTGCACCTCATTTTCTCCTCTTCTTCCACTGCTGTTCATATGGATTTGTTTATCCAACCAGTTTATGGTTTTGCATTTGTTATGAAGGAAAAAGACTCTGGAGCCCAAATCTGCAAGTCTTTGACAAAAGGTGGAGAAATGAAGTGACTCTGTAAGAAAGGAAATATATCTACTGGGGAATTAATCTGAAAAAATGCAAATAACATCACATTAACATTCAATATGAAGAAATGAATCAGTTGCATAATAGAAAGAAGTTTTCCAGGAGCATGCAGCTGCAGCTTCAGCTCAGGTTCAGTAAAAAAAAAAATAAACAGGATAAATAATGAAATTACGTCTGAAATACGTATGACCACAAAAACGTGCTACGGCTGAATCTGTAAAGATGGAGGAAGCCAAAAACAGGATGCCATTAAATGAAGATTTGCGTTACATCAGCATATTCAAAAATAGAAGATGAGGGAGTCCTATAATCACATGCAGAGTCGGTAATGAACAGCTTTAATGAGACACAATAAGGAGCCGGAGGAGTCGGGTTAAATGTGGAAGAGTGAGATTGGGCTCAGAGTTACTCGGGTTTACGGTTCTGATCCAGCAGCAAAGACACAAAAAACCGGCACATGTGGGAGTGGTGGGAAAAGAATCCTCTGTAGTTGTTCCCCTTCAGCGCTGCTCAGATATCATTTACTCGCTCATATGGGTAAATGTCCAGGTTCTTATGTATTTGTTTGCAGAGAAAGAGCTAAAGTCATTATATTTGATAGGTGAAAACAGTTTGTTAGACATCATGAAACATTTTTCCAACAGTTTCAATGGATTTTGAGAGGCTTGCAGAAGTATTCACAGCTTTTGAACTGTTTTGTTCCCCTTTTGTACCTGAATGTTGCAGATGTTTCATTCTGAGTTAACACTTAGAACTGTGAGTTCACTGCAAAAACACCAAATCTTACCAATGATTGTTGGTCTAGTTTCTAGAGCAAATATCTTAGCACACTTGAAATAAGACAAAATTAACTTATAAGGGACCTTTCATCAGTAACTTGTTTCAAGTAAATATTTTTCTAATATTGATTTAGAAGGGTACCAACTCTATTGACAGATTACTATTCACCAATATTAAGGAATTATTGACTTAAAACAAGCTCCTATATCTTGTTTAGTCCAGTTTTGTCTCATTTCAAGTGTACTAACATATTTACAGGAGAAACTAGACCAAACATACACCTGAAATAAGACAAAACTAACTTACAAGTAACTTTTTAGCAAGGTGTAGGAGCTTGTTTTGGGTCAATACTTCCTTGATGTTGATGGAAAAAAGAACTGGTTATGAGGTTTTGTATTTTTGCTGTGTTTCCAGGAATACATTTTCCAGACACACACACAGAAACACACCTTGCTGTACCAGCTGTGCTTTACCTTTTCAGACTTCTCGGTTAAGCTAAGCTCGCTCATGCATGCTTCAGGCTCCGGTGGGGTTTGCTGTGCAG